AAGGGCCAGGAGGGAAAGCTCCTTCCCCTCCAGGATAGGCGTGCAGGCCAACCCGCCCTATTTTGGGCGGATTGTACTGCATGCCCCTCTTGTTGCAAATGTCATCAAACAGAGGGGCGTGCAATCAAACCCGCCCCTCAGAGACGTGCGAGTGCAATTGCACACCCCTTTTGGAGGGGCGGGGGCGTGAGCGGGCGGGAAGGGGGAGGGTTTGCGTTTATCAATGCACCGGACCTAGCGCACCAATTGCTTAGGGTTTGAAACTTACTCTCGGCATCTAGAATCCTTGCGACTGAATTAAATCATTCCTCAACCAATCAAGAAATATCCCGGTTCAATCCTGCAATCAATAATCATTGAACAGCAAATTCCTTCCTCAAGCTCATCACCGGAATAATCATTCTAGTAATTTAAATGAGACACATGGTGATCCCTTCCTAAACCCAATCTGAACTCTGACTCCTTTTTTCTTTCTTCTTTATTTTTGGTCTTAGATTGAGTTTTCCCTTTCCCTTCCTTATTAATTCTTTGTATTGAATTCAAATACGTCTCTGTGCTGTTTCTTCATTCCTTCTCATTCTTTTTGTTTTTGTTTCATCCTTGTTTTCTTCTTGTGCTTGTTGTCGAAAGAACTAACATCTTTATTCCTTTTGTATTTTTTATTCTTTTGGTTGTTTAGTCCTTTATCATCAACTCCTATGAACTCTCCACTTGATTTCTCAATTCTATCTCTAAATTTTGTCTCTTTCAGGATTTAGTTTCTGATTGTTGTTTTTTCCTTCTCAGTTCTGGTTTGTGTTTTCTTAGAAATAAATTCAATTTTCTCAGTATTTTTTTGAATGACATCATTGAACAAAACAATCTCAATCTTTTTTCAATGATTTCATCAGTCTAAAATCTCTTCAAAGCTAACTGGTTTGATAGTGATACTCAAACCCTTGACTCTCTCTATCTGAACTTCTCTCCCTCATGGAACTCAAGGTTGAAAAATCACAACCTCTTCATCTCTCAATCTTATTCTTATCACTATCAATTGATCTTACTAGTTCTACCACCTGACAAGCTTACCGTCAAATTCTAGTTCTGCCGCCTGACAAGCTTACCTTCAAATTTCCTGTTCTAATATCTGGAAAGTGTGCCTCCCCTTCCTTTGACAAGCTTGCCAACAAGACCTGTGCTCTCCTTCTGAATTTCCCTCTTGCCAATTCTTAATAACACTCTGGTCTTATCATCATTGTAGGTTAACTTGTCATCTCTCTCTTGGTTTGGCTCTATGATCCACACTCATCAACTTTTCCTTCTTAGCTTGTTCTTCTCTCCTTTCTTTGGTTCTTCTTATTTACTGTGATCCATTTCAGCCCGCTGATTGCCTTTGGTTTGTTTCACATCTCTTTTGTTCTTTTTATTGTGTATTTCTTCTTTTGTCTTATCTCGTAACTCATCAGAAATACATAACCTTTAGTTTGATCATTCAAAAAAACAAGTTCCATTTCCACATTGGAAGCTGATATGTGTTCCAATCCAGGTCATCAAACAACTGCTGGAGAATGAATCAGACAAGTTTGCATGTAGATTGGACAAGGTCCATTTCTTCAAGTCATGTGAACTCAGTACCAAAGGAGCGGGAAGGTTTTGATTGTTTAAATATTGTAGGGGCTTGGTTAAATGACTCCCATAATTTGGAGAGTCTACTCCCAAGCCCTGGATCCCCCAAAATTTGGGAGTCAAACCCTCAAACAACTTTGACTGGTTTGGAAGTCAACTCCCTAAAAAAAAAAAGAAAACCCTGTTCAGTTTCAGATATGATTGTCCAAAACCAACCAGGGTTTGGGGGTCAATAAAGCAAAAGACCCTCACAGTAGCGGCTGGAAGAATTCCACTGAGAGCACACTCTTGAAAGCCGGGAGGATTCCTCCCAGCCGCTGGGAGTTCACTCTTGACAGCTGGGAGGATTCCTTGCCACTGAGAGTCCACCCGCTTAGAGCATCTCCAACGGACCCGCAATCAGGCCACC